CAAGGAATGGCTCTCAATGGACACCTACCTGGAAGCTAATCAAGGAGAGGAGGATGGTGAAAGAGAAGATGACTCAATGCAAAGATGGACAAGAGAACAGAGGGAGAAGCTGAGTTCAATGTACACTGCACTGTACAAATCAGTGAAGAAGAGTGCTAGGAAAGACAAAAGACAATTCTATGATACACTGGCTGGCAAACGAAGCAGAACAAGCGGGCCGAAGGTGAGAGAGACCTCAGGACATTTTATCAAATGACCAGGTCTCTATCTGGGAAGAGATCAACCCAGATAATGAAACCAATAAAAGATGGTCAAGGAAATCAGATTATCGAGGAGGAGAAACAAATCAAACAATGGGCTGATAACTTTAAAGGACTCTTGAATCGATCATCACCTGCAACTCACCCAGAAATACAACCAACAACACGCACACAAGTGCCGGTGAGTGAACACCAATCCTCTAACGAAAGAAGAAATCCTGAATGCGATTAAGCCACTGAAGTGCTGTTGGGAAGGCAGCGGGAACAGATGGAATTCCCGCCGAAGCACTGAAAACGGACCCAGAGACTACCGCAGATGTGCTCACGCCATTACTGCAAACGGTTTGGAAAGAAAGAAAAGTATCTAACGATTGGAAGAAGGGCTACCTTGTGAAGCTACTAAAATAAAGAAGGTTGAATTAGGCCTCTACAAGAACTGGCGTGGAATCATGCTCTTGTCTACGCTAAGTAAGATACTAAGTCGCATCTTTCTGGAGAGAATAAGGGATGCACTGGATACAGAGCTCCGCTCCACCGACCAGAACAAGCTGTATTCAGGAAAGGCAAATCGCGTGCTGATCAAATTGCAACTCTACACATCGCCATCACTATCGAACAAGGCATACAATGGCAGTCAAACCTCTACCTCAACTTTATCGACTTCGAGAAGGTCTTCGACAGACAGAGTTGATCGAGGAGTAATTTGGAAAATACTTGAACAATACAGTGTGCAGTGCCCAAACCTTTATTAGCATCATTCAACTGCTGGTTGTATGACAGTGCCACGTGTCAAGTGATCCACAACGGAAAACTCAGCAAAGCTTTTGAAGTGAATACAGGAGTGAGGCAAGGCTGCCTGCCTATTATCGCCAACAATGCTATTCTTAATTGTGGTGGACTGGATTATGTGGAGGACTGTGCGCGGGAGCGAGGATATAGGAATACTCTGGACGATCGATCAGAAGACTTTAGAATATCTGGATTTCGCAGATGATACATGTCTAATGTCACACAAACTCGAAGACTTGCAGGCAAAAACCAACAAACAATAATGGTGATTTACTTTATTCCAAAAACAGCATTTGTGATACAGAATAGAATTTTCAGCATTAATCAAAATATTGCATCTAATTTCCTCAAATTATAAATAAAATTAATCACACAGAAAATTTTCTACGTTTACAATAGGGGTAATGTCGGAAACACGTAGCATATAAAATGGGAATAATAATGATGATAACAGCTAAGGTAATAATAATACAAGTGAAAATTTCCGTGGGCTTGTTTCACACAGTATTGTCGATTCGGTATAGAAATCCAAGCATGTTTAAAAATATTGAATATAGTGTTCTCTTTACATGATATGGTGAGGGGAAAAAGCGAAGATTACGGCAGTCTTAGAGATAAATTGGTGTTTGCAGTTATGAAAGTAAAACAAAGAATCAACAAGACCATAAATATAATAGAAATAATAAAAGTAAAACTTCAAGGTATATAAGGATGGATGGAGGAAATTGTTTATTTACTGGATGAAAAAAGGTTAGTTAATTCTTGTCTGACATTATTTTCATCACATAAAATACGCGCCAAGTATGGTATCATAGAATTTTTATACTTAGACGTGCGAGCATACAGTTTTCTGAAGTTACTTCTTGTTCTACCTGAGGGGATGCAAGGTGAAAGCTGAGGGTAAATTGGATGCTCCAAGTCAGACAAAATCCCTTTAGCAAATTTACTGCACGAAGTCAAGCGCCTATCGACAACGACAACAACTATATGGTCCAGTGGGACACCACTTACCCTACTGACAGTCTTCAGCATTCTACGAATTGTGACATAGTCCTTTTTATAAATGGTTAAAGAGGCAGGCAGAGAAGACAGGACTGCAAGCGAACACAGAGAAGACTGAAGTGATGAAGATAACCAATGACCACCAACAGCAACAACAACCAGCCTCAATCACCATCAACGTAAGAGATTTAATAGAAGTTGCCTCCTTCACTTACTTGGGAGGCATCATTTCAACTACAGGTTGGTCGGATGAAGATGTCAAAGGCAGCCAGCCATAACTGGAAAGGCGACATACGCCTTCATCAACCTGAAATCAGTTTGGAAATCTTCCGCACTCAGCATAAGGAACAAGATAAGCATTTTCAACACCAATGTAAAGTCAGTCACTGCTTCTGTAAGGGTCAGAAACTTGGCCAGCATGTCACGAAAAGGATTTCCAACAGGTTACAGACTTTCATCATCAGCTGCCTTTGCTCCGTACTGAAGATCAAATGGCCAGAAAGAACAAGCAACAGGAAGCTATGGAAGTAAACCAACCAAGAGCCGATCGCTCAACAAATATGTAGGAGAAAGTGGAGATGGATCGGGCATACACTTAGGAGGCCGCCAAATGACATTGCACGTCAGGCCATTGCTCGAGTGGAATCTAAGTAGGTAGCGACGAGTGGGTTGTCAATGCGAGGGTGACATTGAGGTGATCATCTGAGGAAGAGATGAAAGAGTTCGGTCAACCGTGGACCTAGCTGAAGAGGATGGCAGAAGACAGAACAGAGTGGAGATGTGTTGTTGAAGCTCCAAGGGAATAATAATGTTTAAGTGAACCTTCTCTAGCATTCTGACAAGGGGGACCTTCTCCCAGTTGACAGGTACTTTACACCTCTTGAAAACCATCCGCGGTAGTATCGTTAACATATGTTAGGACAGAACAGCTTCTTTGTAGGCGGTGAAGTCGTGTCTTATGCATCGACTGACATGATAGCTTTATCGGACAGTTTTGATTCGTCTGTTTATCGCTTGATTTTCTGAGGGTTTTGATGTCATGCAACCGATTTTTAGATTTGTGGGTTTAATTTCTGAGGGTTTGTAAACATAATATACCATGTATTCCACCTAATAAACTTGTTGTCATCGTTATGGCAGTCACTTTTCTAGTCTGACTTTTGCGCCCATTTCAGTGTGGGAGGTACCTCAAGTGGCCTGTTATAGCGTCATGTTCTGGAGGTGCGTTCTACTCAACTAAAACGAACTCATACCTCAGTATCACTGTCATAAGTTATCTGGTGAAGGGATTCGGTTCTTTTTTAGTGCCTCTTGACGACTCCGTCTGGTAACTTACTGGAGGATCAAAGAAATTTGTCGAATCAACCGAACCTTCAACGATAAATTCGTTTAACTGTGTGGACTGGAACACAGGGAAGTCGATAGGATTTTCAAGGCACAAGAGCTCAACGGCTTTATTGTGGTGCGACCGTGCATTTCTATAATCTTTTGATACCATCACTAATAAATACACCTTTCATCAGCCCCAAATCATATATTCTCCCTTCGCTAGTTGGAATAGTGTTAAGAACAGCCTGGACACTAAGTTGGGGGAGACAGGCTGGATAGTCAGCAAATAATGTGGCTAGGGCTCAGGTCTGGCAGGACGGGCGGTTACACTTTGGCTATGTGAGTTTTTCTAGTTGAAACCAACTGTGATCGAGCTCAAAGTCGTTCCCTAGGTCATTACTTCCCCACTTTTAACAGCTTTATGGAAATTAGGAGTTCTCGCCTGGTTGAAAAGTCAGGGTTAACTAATAGTCGTGTCTGCTGGTGGCACTTCTAGAGGAGTTGTAGGTGGTGGTCATTCCAAGATTCCTTTGGGTCGACCAGTCCAGAGTTTTCTTTGTTCCACGAGTTTAGCGACTGAGTTTTACTTGTTTTTCATTGACCCCATATCAGTTGGTCTCTTCCTCGAAAGATGCATGGTTATTTGATGAAGTGTTACATGGTCTCTCTTTCCTGTATTCTGTTCTTCAGCGTTTGACCACATAACTTGCTGATCCCCTAGCTGACCTACCGAACGAAACTTAACACCGCCCTAACTAGTAAAGGGAAAATACAATACTTATGGCTAATTTTTTTATCATACTAGAGGTGGTATGGAGGAAATATATAGATGCGAACTCACACCACCACTACAATGGAAATTCTATTGCCCTCAGTGGGCCTCAATAAACTCAGTCAGTGATCGTCAGCATTTAAAAGCTAATACGCTTTAGAATAAACGTTTCTTTTGAGCCTATCTAGATGTGATGTGATACAGTGTAACAGAATGCGTCGAATGCATCGTGCAACACTGTAGAAAATACAAATATCTAGGTTGGCGTGAGCAGTAAGGCATTCAGAAGACATTATTTTTGAATCTCCGCATAAGGTCCTTTTTCTGAACAACAGCACTATGTCCCACCAAAGATTCCCAGGGAAACTCATTACATCGCAACTTGCAAACAGGACTACTATTGGAATTAAAAATAGTATATCCAGTGTTTACATGGTTACGCCTCAACAGATATGAGCCGCGTCAAGATCCTTCTGCATCTAGAGATAGAAAGTGTAACGTTGGAACTCGAACAAAGAACAGTCTGTTTCGAATAATGGATACAGTACCATGAGAGGGTACACAACAAAAAGTACAAGTGGCTTAGAAGCTGATGTGACGAGACTTCGTCGTGTTATGGCTGGTTACACAAATGTGTAGTTTTGCCATTTTCTATTAGTTAATACTAGTAGGATATATTACCTTTGACTGTTACGATGCCATTTACTTACAACACTTTTCCCTATATCATATCATATTCATTTATCAAAATTTACATTAAGAATTATATGAACTAGAAAAGGTAATCATTTCTGAAGTTAGAGGTAATGCTGACATAATTTGTTTTTTACATCACTTCTATGGTTACAAATGACCTTCACGTGGTGATTTTTCAAAAGTGTTGTGACAAACATGAAACTGAAACGTTTCCTTTTACGTTATTACCCACCAGGTAATTTATTTATCCCGGTGAAAGCGAGTATTTACTTTAGGGATTATACTGGATTATGAACAAAGTGGTGAGTCAAAAACCAGAGTACTAGACCTCTTAGACCTCATCCCCGAGTACATTCGATTTCCACGTTTAAATATTATTTGCAGAAGTGACACCGAAGAGGTTTTAAAAGAGATTTGTAACAAAGAGCCTTTGATAACTGAAAAGAGAAAAATACAAGTTCAGGATTTGATTGAACGCTTGAAATCGAAGTTACGTTCGAGTGAAAAATCGAAATTTGGTCAGTATAAGGTATGAAAATGTTTTTTATGATAACTTGCCTAGATACTACGTGCACATATCCTCCCTCTTACTAATGTGGCCTTTAACAAAAGTGGAAGTCAGTAAGTGCAACGTTGCGGATTTTAATGCTTGTAACATGTCTATATATATATATATATATATATATATATATATATTGGAAAAAAGTGGGAAATTCATTACAAATTTACTATCTCTCTAAGTTGAGAAATACAAAGGGATATCTGTATATTTTACAGACCTGAAAACTATCTTGCCTTTCTCACGTATTCTATATGGTATACATGAGAGAAGTAAGACAGGTTAGAAAATATTTGTTTCATAGTCATGATTGCAAAAAATGTGTCTTTTACTCTGTTGCTTAAAGTGATGGGGTAGTTATTTATTGTCTTTTTAAAACATCTTTTGAAGACAGGACTTTAGTGGCTGGGGTTCTTGACGTTCACGGATAGTACGATGTATGCTAACGCAAGATCTTATACGCACAGCTCCTATAGTATGTCCCACGTAGACCAAAGACAAATCAAAACGCCGAATTCATCGCCCACAATACGAAGCATACTTTGAAACCGAATCATAGTGTGTTGTCGATTGCCACATTTGCTGGGGATCCAATATCCAATATCGTTTTAACGAGCTAGTATAAACCAATTTAATTTTCTTGTGCTCGCTTCTTGATTGTGAAGTAAAGGTTCTTAGTCTTCCGTAAACGTCTGCGTAGCTCGTCCCGCCACTCGACTGTCGTAGCTTTGGTCGACTCCAAAAGGAGTAGTGCTGGGATTAATTACATGTTGTTTGTAGTATGCGGTGTGTTAAGACTTTGTTACTGTTGTGAATGGAGTTGATCTTTTCACCATTTAGTCCTCCGGTATCGTCGTCAAAAAAAAGAGATAATAATAATAACAGATATAATTACTGTAGGTTATTCAGGCTAGAAGAAATAAAATAAAATAACGAAAACGTAAAAACAGATGGCCAGTTAAATTTGAAGTTGAAATATATATATATATATATATATATATAACATCATTAATAATAAGTGTAGTAGTTGGAGTAGTCAGGAGAGTAAGATGGGAGGAAATATAAAGAAGTAAAGCAACGAATTTTGTTGTCTACCCATGAATGGTGTATGGGATTTTAAGGGAATGGGCTATTTGGACGCAGTTCTTGTGTTGCTGCATGATAGTCCAACCTTCGCTTAAAGGTGTCCACAGACGGTGCAACAGCTACATCTGCCGGTAAGGAGTTCCGGGGACGGCGAACCCGCAGTGAAAAGAAGTGGGAGCGCACCCTGGTCCTTGCCGTTTGGTGAGCTATACTTCTGGGATTTCCACGAGCAAGCCTATATCTACTCAATGGCAGAACACCTTTGTTTGGGTGATTCTAGTCATTTGTTATCTTGTAGGCAGTAATCAAATCTCCCCTAAGCCGAATGTAGCTAAATGTGAATAGGCTTAATTTCTTTAGCCTTTTTTTCAAACGGTTTATTTCGGAGACCAACCACTCCTTTTGTTGCCCGTCTTTGAACTCTTTTCAAGAGGTTTGTATCTCTTCTAAGTAGTAGGGGTGCAATGATACTATCTACTTCAAGGTGTGGTCTGACGTATGTTTTGCACAACCCTAGAAAGAGCTCGGCAGTGAGTTCACCTAACTGTCTATATGTAAAGTGTATAACCGCATATGCCCTCGCTACGTCCCCCGTGTAATTTATGCTTGTGTCCAATTTTTCCGTTAGAACTAGACCTAAGTCACGCTCCCACGTTGTGCAGGACAAGCTTTCGTTGCACAGGGTGTAACTTGCATTATGCGGCCTACAGGTGCGTAATTTCACTACTTTGCACTTTTCAGGTTGAAAGTCATACCATTGGACACCGCCCAGTCTTCCAGAAGCTTTAGATCTGCCTGCAACCTATCTGAGTCTTCCGAAAACTTCATTGCCCTCCATATATTTGCGTCGTCAGCGTACAGAAGAGTCGGATAGCTTAGGCATCATGATAGGTCAGTGAGAAATCAAAAACACCAGTGGTCCTAGGATTGAACACTCCCGATGACGAGCCGTCCCAAGATGATCGAACTCGATTGACCTTAGTGCGAAATTTCCCTTCGGCTAGGTAGTCCTTTAACCATGACAGAAGCGGCTTACCTATACCTGCCTGACTTATCTTGTGTATAAGATGGTAATGGTGCACGAAAAAGCGAACGTAACTCGACGGTATTCCAAATGGAGTGGATGCTTGATCGTAAGCCTTCAGCTAAACAATTCGACTTAAACAGTGAAATTCAGTATCCAATGTTGAGTGATGAATGCTGTGGGCTAATAATTTTGGAGAACTATCTACAGCCACTGGACTATGTATTCACATGTTTCCTCAGACCCCAAACGAAACGTTTTCTTTGTGAAAGCCGTTCTACCATGAATAACAGTACTACTTAACTGACGTTCTCAATATTATCTTTTGTATTCACTTTGTAGAGTAGTTTTCTTGAAATACTTATTTAGCTGAATTAGATCTCCGGTTTACTAGGATATGTTGTATTCTGTACTTGGAATGAAGAAACAGAAGGAGCATTTGTATGTCCTCCCTGACCTTTACAAATACTAATGTGAAATCATCCATGGGCCACCTGGGTGGTTTTGGGAGTAGGTATAATCGATCTATTCGTTTTTTGAATGGGGTGGGGGTTTTTAGGTTCTTTCGATCATTTTATACCATAGTCCTTGTGTTCTTTATGGAAAATCTGCTTCATATGTTGGGTATAATCTCAGAAAAAAGTGAAAATTAACGCTGACAAACTTGCGAGCTTTAAGCCTTTGTGAAAGACTACAATAAACTAAAATCTTTCTCAGTCACTATTCTATAGTTTGCTGTAATTTTATGGTCATGGCTTTCAATGGCATTGTAATGATTTACGTCCGGTAGAGTAGAGCTATCCATTGAGTACCCATCCGAACTACTATAATCCATGTTCATAACTGTACTGTCCGATTGTTGAGTTTCTTTTCCAAGTTGCTATAGACGTTTCATAAGACTGTAATACTTATAATGTATTTACCACAGCACCACAGTTAAATTAACTCAATTCATATTAACTATAAATGATGGCATATATTTATATTTCACAGTGTTTCTCACAAGAACGCTCATAAACTTATTTTGAAGAAGATAAAAGTTGCAAAACTTTCGCATACACAAAGAGTGAATGTTTGTACACAGTAGTCAACCTTTGAACTGAAGACTTAGTGCATTTTCTTAAACATCTTTTAGTAAAAGCCTTTACAGTCTGAAATCTATGAACATTTTCCTGGAAACTGCTACAAATCTTTTTTAAATTTACTTCTTGTTGCCTGCTGTTTTTCTGATTCCCCCAGCTTGATTCTTTAGCTTGTCTTGTTTCCTAACAAACTGTTTACCAGTGTTGACATTATGGTAGTAATCATTAAGTGATGACATGGTTAGGTTCTTTTAGAATGAAAAGAAAGTTTTCCTTTTCTTGCATATTATGCCGTATGAAATGATCTCTTCACTTACTAAGTCTGCAACTATTCTCACAAACACTTTGTGTTAATGTACAAACTAATGCAATACTGACAAGGCAAAGCAAATGTAATTGTTAGAAATTACTTAATTTTCTTTGTAGAACTTAGCTTAAATTAATCCTTCAATTAGTGTATCTAAAATTGACAATTAATACGAAGGAATTTATAGCATATTTAAGAACATTTTAGGGGCTTAAACTGGTAAAATATTAAGTGCTAACTAAATACAGAAGAATAATCAAACACTTTTAATGGATAGACATGCCTTGAAACTATAAAATTTTCATAAGCTTAGGCATTTCGTCTTGGATTTCAAAAAAGATTTAACCTGGCATATAGTCAAGTGAAGAGTTAACTGCATTTACCAATTCACCTGCACTTGAGGCAACAAGTACACAGGAAGGACTGAAAGGAGGAGAGCACCTACTAGATTCTCTGAGCATATCCTTAAAATTCTCTATTTGAAAGGCAGCAAAGTGTTCTCATATTCGATTTTCAGACACCTAATTGACACAGGACATACAGTGGAAATTAGTCAGGCTTTCAAAGTAATCAATATACAAAGAAAAGCATGAATACTTCGGTTCTCAGAAGCCACTGCCATCAAAAGACTTCGACCCAACCTATGCATACAGAGACAGAGTGTGTGTGTGTGTGCGACTAATCTCCCACTACCCTACATGGTAACTCTAATTGTTTTATTCGTGTACTTTTGTTTTTTGTTCTGTTACGTAACATTCCACTCAACCTCGAATCTGACTTTCACTCGCTGAGTTGAACTCACTATTTAGGTTTCAAATCTACTAAATTAAATTATTTTATCTACTTTATAATTTTAATTCACTGGTCACCCCTACCCTCCTGAACTCTCCATCATAAGACGTATAAATTAACTCTTTTGTTTTATTTTGTATTTTATCTCTAGTCCATCCTTGTTTCCAAGAGAAATCTACATTCCACCATCTTGTCTAATTACTACATAAATAGTTACTCTTTTAATACTAAATAATTGTCTACTTACATCATCTTTGAAATTATGTTGCTTATACTTTCTAACTATAACTTGAAATCATTGTAAAAAAGTATGTTCATGTGTGAGAGCTGTCTACTAGCCAAATTGGTAGACAGTAATTTACGTCAATATTTACGTTCCCAAGATTTGTCGTGAGAAAATGTGAACAAAGATTGATTCAAAACCGACCACAGCAGACTTTGCGTAGCGGTGCAGTTAACATATAGAGGATTTACATCAAAAACAATTCATACACCATTTTCTAACACATAATTGATTTATTTAGGATGTACTCAGTTGAAGAGAATCTACAAAATAAAACTAGCTCGTATTATCTTCCCTGCAAATATGTTAGTTTTTTTCTTTATTCAGACTAATAAAGGGAAGCGACTGTATGGAAGAGTTAACACTTTAATATCCTTCATCCGAATAAAAATTAGATATAACTTTCTTGATCTAGGTAGTTTAGAAGTTTAATTCAATAGCCACTAGTTGACGTCATCATCCATATATGCAACAATCATTAGGGTTAAGTAAAGTTTTTGCAATCAGTCTTTTTGATTTCAGACAATTTTTCGAACGTATTGATTGCTATTGTTATAGGAGTTATCAGTAAAAAGTGGATTTCATTTCAGTAACTCTGCTTGTCATCACCTAGATAAACATTAATAAAAAGCATATAAGACGAATTTTAATATTTTCATAACTTATCAACTTTTAGGTCAAACTTTTCTTATCCCACTTCCATCTGTGATAAATCAACTCACTACCGATTGACATCTTCTTACGTCGTCGTATATCAGATACAGGCGATTAAAGTGTTCAGTAGCGTCGTTTCATTTAACTTAGTGTCCTCATTGCACGCTGCCTGGAGATATTTGGATACATATCATCTAAGCAAATAATCAGTGAATCGGATGGAGGATTTCATCATGAGCTGACATCAGTTAGAGAACCACTGGAAAACCTGGGAGTACTGGGCAGCTGTTTCGTCAGCCTAGTTTGGGACTCTTTAGCAGTACGCAACCACCGGGGTTCGAACCCAGGACCTTCTGGTTACAAGGCGATCTTGTAGACCATCGACCCACTGGGACTTGTAACCAGAAGGTCCTGAGTTCGAACCCCGGTGGGTGCGTACTGATGAAGACTTCCAAACTAGGCTGACGAAACAGCTGTCCAGTACTCCCAGGTTTTCCAGTGGTTCTCTAACTGATGTCAGCTCATGATGTAATCCTCCATCCAATCAAACTAAATCCCTACTTGAAAAATCAGTGAATCATTGGTGGTAAAATCTTTAGCTTCAGCATCGAGTGATATAGATCCAAACTCTACAGGGAAAATAAACCTCGTGGTAATTTCAGAGATACTTTTTTTGATAAATGCGAACAAACATGAAGTCTGTGTCAAGGGCTTCCTGTTGGTCGACTATATCTTACCCTTAGCATCAAATATGTTAAAATTAATTTTCTTTTCGACAATTACATCTTATGAGCATCTAACGGAAACTCAAATAAAACCAAATTTTATTACCCTTCTCTAGTCATTATTCTTTCATTTTAGAGGTAATGAATAAGAGATTTTATGGAAGCGCTGTACAAGTTTATGAGAAACAAATCACAATTCTAGTGTTACAAACCCCTATATGATGATAGTAAATTTTATCAGTAAAGTCATATCTGATTTAAAGTAATCTCTATCACTAATCATTACTGTTGAGTAACTTTCTTCATTGACACGTATCTGAAGGTTCGCTCAGTCTTTGACTGTTGGTGTTAGCCTTTTGGGAAAGTGTAAGCTAGAATTCTGGAGATGCTAAAAATCAATTCTTGGAGATCAAGGGTGAAATGGTTAAGAAGCTTTTGCACAAGCGCTTGTGTAACTGCTCTTTGTCATCTTCCAAATTCTGAAAATTCCCACTAATTTTCATCTAACTATTCTCTCTAATGCGTCGGTGGCATGTCGGTAAAATGCTCGCCGACCACCCTTGCGGTCCGGGGTTCGATCTCAGGCCGACGCACTCCTTCGCCTCGCTAAGCCCGCAATAGGGATGGTAAAGAGGGAAGATTGAGCATAAGGCTAGCAACCTCGTCCCGTAAGAATAAACACCAGTGCTACCAAAACTTCAAAGTTATAGCCTGAAGTCTTATGTTCCACCGGGAACGTAAAGGAATAAGAAAATTTTCTGTACTGTACTTCTTAGTTCACTGTAGTTCCAGTGCACTTATTTGTTTCTACTTTTATGTGCAATTCTCTGAAGTATGAGAACATGAACTGAGAATTTCTATACTGATAAGTCAGTTGGTAAAAAATCAGAATTAGAACCGTAAAGTTAAGGAGGTTGCTTGTCAGCAGCCAACCCGATACTCCACAGTCTATGGTTTTACAGAGACATCGTCAAAAAATAAGAAAGTGTCTCACTTCTACAAATTAGCCGCCGAGTTTTAACTATAAATCTGACCTACTCATTTTGACTGAATAATACATTAATTATTTTACAGTCCGTTTTAAAGATGATTGTCAATGTACAACATGTATATTTGTTATAAATCCCTCACCGATGTATCTTTATTCTTTTTCTCTTTCCCTGTCATCTTCTTTTGTGCCGGAAAAATTAACATTATATAGTTTTATTACTGGTTCTTACGATCGTACATGTAAAGTTTGGCACACTGAAACTGGTAATGAAGTGCATACATTAGAAGGCCATAAAAATGTGGTTTATGCAATTGCATTCAACTTACCGTTCTCTGGTAAGTTACATTTTCTGTTTTTACTTCTTATTTATAATTATTTATGTTTAGATTTTTTATATTTCAGATTTATTGGTTGAGGATAGAAGGCTTGGAGCCTATGTTAATCTTTTTTGAGCAAAATTCTGTGTTTGTCCAAACCCTTCTTGAATGCATCAGTTGAGGTAACAGACACCACCTCTTCTCGGAGTCGGTTCCAGGAGTTTATAACTCAGTGTGAGAACCAGTACTCAACAGCAATATGGTTTCCCCTTGTCTTTTGAACTCTCCTGCTATGTCCTCTAAGGTGTTCCAACCTGGTAGGAAGGAAAATAAAGAATAGGTCAGGTCCGTAGTCATTATTTAAAATTTTAAACATTATGATTAAATCTCCTCTCTGCCTACGGTATGACAGAAAGAAGAGATTTAAACTGTCTGGTCTTTCCTCGTATGATAAGTTAGTCATGCCGAGAACCATACGTGTTGCCTACTTTTGAACCCTTTCTAGAATGTGTGACTCCCCTTTAAGACATGGACTGGCAGCCTGGATACAGTTTTCCAGTCTTAACTTCATCACAGATGTATATAAGGAGGTAAACATATCTCTGGTGATTCTAGTAAGGGCTCTGTGAATTTTCCACAAGGATCTGACACTACGTGCAGCCACCGCGTGGCAGTGTTCTGTAGTTTTTGAATCGTAACTAACTATGGCACTTAAATCCAAATGAGTCTGAGCTGATGGGAGTGTTATTCCTTATAGTTCGTAGGAGCTGGTGCTTGCGTGTCCGATGAGCATGGTTGCACATTTCACTACACTGATAGGGAACATCCATCCTCTGGACCAATCTGATAATTTGTTGAGGTCCTCTTGCAAAGTGAGCGTAACACTGTTGCCCCTCAGCTCTCTCCAAATTTTTAAGTCATCTGCGTATACGACCATAGGGGAATCGGTGAGCAGAGATAACTCATTGATATATAAAATAAATAGGAGAGGACTGAGTACCGTGCCTTATGGCACTCCGCTACGCACTGATGTCCAAGAGGAGAGTTTTGAGTTGATCCTAACCCTCTGCCTCCTATCTATGAGAAATTCCCTAATCCAGTTTAGTAAGCTGCCTTTGACTCCAAGACTTTCCAGCTTCATGAGTAGTCTTTTGTGGGGATCTTTATCGAAGGCCTTGCTGAAGTCCGCGGAGACGACGTCAACGGGTCCTCTGTTGTGCCTTGATTTGACCCAGCTTTCTCTTGCAGTGTGGAGACCTGACAGGCATGAGAGGTTTCCTCGGAAGCTGTGCAGTGCTCTGCATAACCAAATGTTGTTTCCCAGATATTCCATGATACTGTTCTTGATGATTCCTTCCGGTGTCTTGATTAAAGTGCTGGTAAGACTAATAGGCCTGTAGTTCGAAGGGCTTCGTCTTGATCCTCCCTTGTGGATATGGTTAATACGGCTTGAAGATCGTGGTCAGTGGGCCGGCTGTGTGAGCTGATAACTCCTTGAAAAGTTTTGGATGAAGGTTATCGGGAACCATTGATTTCACTGCATGTAGTTTCATTAGGCAGTTGAGCACGATGTCTTAGTCAACGTCAACAGAATCCATCCCGTGTTCCTCCGATACAGCCGCAGCTGATCCTATTGGGAGTGACGACCCCTGTATTAGGACTTTGGAGAAGTAGTCTACCACTGCTTCTGCTTTTTCTTGATCTTCTTCGATTGTGTCATTGTCGATAGTCAGGTTTGGGACACCATTGGATGTTTTATTCCTGAAGTTCACGTACGAGAACATTTTCTAAGTTTGTGCCTTTGCGTTTTGAGCCAGATGTGCTTCAAACTTCATCTTTGATTGGCGGATTTCTGCCATAACTTTATTCCTAGCGGTGTTGTATGATTTCCTGGTCTCGGGAATCTCAACTGTGGCAAACAGGCTCAAAAATTTGTGTTTACGCCTGAGTAACTCATGAATCTCTCGGTTTACCCGTGGGGGTTATGTTTTTGACCCTTCGGGACTGACCAAGGGATGAAAGGTTCAGTTATGTGGACGTAAAGTTGTTTAAATTGGTCCCGTGCGGCTTCTACTTGAGACTGGGTTGGTGTACCAGTTTATTGAGTTGGCTGCTGAGACGATTGCATCTATATCAGCTTTCCAAATGTTTGTTCGGGCCGGGGTTTTGGCCAGTGATACTACTGCCGTGAACTTGAAAGTGGGCACAGAGTGGTCATTTCTTCCTAAAGGAGGAAGATGTATGAGGTCCACACCCTCACCGTGTGAGAACACTAGGCCGGAGTTGAAAAGGAGTGCTGTGAGTCGTAGCACGTGTTCTTAATGGCATGTTGAGTTAGGGCCAACGAAATGCCAGATTCCAGCAGTTTATGATCAAAGGAGTTGTCTAAAGGTGTCGTTATAAGTCTTGTCCAGTCAACTGTTGGGGCGTTGAAGTCGCCGACTACGAGACTTCGACATTTAAATGCCCAAGAGCCTATTTTTTCTATTAGAAAGTCATCTGCACTGCAGTCGGGACTGCAGTATATTGCAATTATCTCAATATCTCGGCCTATACATTTAAGTCTGCAGCGTAGAAGTTAGCACGATTCACTTTCGCGAGCGAGTGCTTCGGTGCTTCGCACGAATCCAGTTTAGTAGGCTGCCTTTGATACCAAGACTTTCCAGCTTCATGAGTAGTCTTTTGTGAGGAACTTTATCAAAGGCTTTGCTGAAGTCTATGAAGATGAAGTCAACGGGCCCTCTGTTGTCCCTTCATCATCACTTCCTTAAAGGAAACGTGTACAGCTGTTTTATAAAGAAAGAAGAGACGAGAGAAGGAATAGCCCTCAACGCAAACTTGGAAGCTTATAGAAAAGGGGTGATGGTCAGTCAAAATATGAATCAATGCAGAGATGGACAACAGAATGAGAAGCTCATAAAGTTAATAATAATAATAATAAAGTTAAGAGGATTACTAGGAAAGACAAAAGACAATTCTACGGTACACTGGCCGGTGACTGAAGCAAAACAAGCACACCGCAGGTAAAACAGACCTGAGAACATGATATCAGATAACCAGGTCACTATCTGGTAAGGGGTCAACAGAGGTGAAACCAATAAAAGACAGTCAAAAGAACCAATGAGGATAGACAAATAAAACATTGGGCTGATCACTTCAAAGGAATCTTGAAAGCCCGTGTTAAGTCAGTTGTTCTACATGCGTCAGAAACTTGGTGCGTGCGTCACGGAAAGCATTTCCAAAAGGCTGCAGACTTTCCTCAACAGCTGCTTTTGCTCTATACTGAATACCGAATGGCCGGTCATAAAGAATTAGCAATATGAAAACTCTGGGAACGGACCGACCAAAAACCTATTGCTCAACAAATATGTAAAAGAAAGTGGAGGTGGATCGGACACACACCGAGAAGACCATTGAACGACATCGTGCGACAGACATCGCCTCGAGTGGGAAACGACAAGGGGGGCTAGCTGAACAGGAATGGAGCGAAGATGACAAAAAGGAAATGTATTGTTGAAGCCTGAAGGAACAATAATACAGTAAAAATAACTTCTGAAGATATTGATATGGTGGTCTGTGGCCAGTGTGGAAATAACCAGTCATAATTTGACCTACGTAAAGTAACGCCCAATATTTTATTGATCATGATTACAGATTAAGTGACGTAGCCTTGGTGATATTTTGAGTCATACTTGATTGCGTAAAATATATTCTGTGGTGAGAGCTGTCTGCTAGCCAAACTGGAAGACAGCAATTAACGTTAATGTTTGCGTCCCAAATCTTGGTCATGAGAAGAAGCAAGAACAAAGACTAACCCTGAGGAACTCAACAACCAATCACAGTAGACTTAGTGTGAGTGGATACGATTCGCAAATATATCAACGGACTGTCCAAGAAACGGCAACAAAGAGATGACTGAATAACCTTCATCAGGAAAAAATCTACCAGAAGACGTTACCTCTAGGCTAAAAGTAACGAATAATAATGTACATAAAAATCTATAAATAACTGTTGATTTCATACATTTATTCCCCTTAATGAATTTGAACAAAGCAAAAATTACAGTTTTAGCAGAATAAAATGGTACCATCTTTTATTTTCATCCGAATGCGAGATGCTGAAAAGTTTTCATTGTGTATGATTATTATTGTTCGGAATAGTGTTTAATATTGCATATATATTATTATTATTATTAGTGTATGCGTATGTATATTGATCGATTGATTTTCGTTTAAAATAAACTCTGCAAGTATGTTAAAATTGCTTTTGTAGATACATTTAATAATGTCTTTACCCTGTAAGCAGCTGACAAGAAGGCAACGAAATAAAAGATGGTACCACTTTATTCTGCTAAAACTGTAGTTCTTGCTTTGTTCAAACTGTTGATTTCCTCAATAAACGATCTGTTGCCTGACTCTTGTCTTCTATCGTTACAATACTTTGCAGCTCTCACATCGCTGTGTGATCTTGCTTAAGCAGTGCCGGCTGAAGAAGCAGGTAGCTGTCATGAAATGTTGTTGGCGTAGTCAAGTGATACTTGTGATTTTCGCATCAGGGTTCAATTCAGTGTCCCTATTTCACTCTCAACGTACTATGAAACATAACAAATGTGCATGAATTTATATTGAGATCCATAGGGATAATTAGATGATTAGAACAAGCACGCTGCTATTAGATCAGTTCTATTCAAACTTATCTTATGTATTGATTACTTTTAGAAAATACACTTATAAAAACTCACATCTTTTTTGGAAAAACTGTATATGAATTTGACTGTACAACTAAAGAAAATGAAATCACTGAAAAGAGTCTATTCAATGAACTAATTGTTTTATTTATACTAACAACCATTGACATAAACCATCTTAGTACTTCACTATAAACTAACAGGATGCTTAGCAACCAAAAAGAGTAACCTACTCATTTGAAATAGAAAACATCTGGTTTTCTTATAATCTTATTATTAACTATTTCTTGACTCTGTTATATTAAATAATATTCAATGGACCTGTATGTTT